CAGGCTCAGGGGTGTCCCCCACAGAAAAAGGAGAAGTGAAAAACTGGTATGAAAACAGGGAAAAATGGAAATTAATGAACTGCGAGACTTGTAGCTTTCTTCCCTCACCAAACTCTAGAACCCTGCCATCTAAACTCAGTACCTCTGCCAACCCCTCTGCTATGGACTGAATTATGTCTCCCCAAAATTCATGTGTTCAAGCCTGAATGAATGCCCTGGGTGACTGTATTAGGAGATAGGGCTTTTAGGAGGTAAGTACAATTAAAGGGCATCTTTCTCTCCATGAGGAATCAACAAGGAAAGGCCATGTGAGCACACAGCAAGATATCTACAGGCCAAGAAAAGAGCCCTCACCAGAACCTGACCATGCTGTCACAATGATCTCAGGCTTTCAGCCTCCAGAACCGTGAGAAAATAAATTTCTGTTGTTTAAGCTGCCCAGTCTATGGTATTTTATTATGGAAGCCCAAGTAACTAAGACACCTCTCCTCTCTCCATCATTCCACCCATACAGAAACAGAAAAATGAAGAACCTTTATCTGAAGAAACTGAAAGCCTTCTTATCCAGCACCCAGAGAAAAGAAATAAAGGTAAAAACATAAGAGTCCATTTATCACCAAGCCCTGTTCATTCACGCCCAGTGAGCTTTCAGCTTTGGTAACTTTCTCTCAAATATGAAGAAACTGCTAAGGATCACACAGATCTGAATAAAGCCTCCAATTGAAAAGAAAGAAACCAAACGAACTTGAAAAAAAAAGTTAGAAAAACCAAAAACATTTTAGGGAACAGAAGAAATCAAAGAAACTATACTTAATATCCTTGAAGAGATAACAGAATATGCTGCACCCATTAAAAAGGAGCAAAATTCTATAATATAGGAACAAAGAACAAGAGCTCATTTAAAAAAAAAAATCGTTTTAAAAAGCCGAAATTTGAAAACTCACTGAAAGAATTGAAACATCCCAACTAGAACAATAAACGACTTTTTGGAGATCAGACTTCTCAATATTAACATTGGAAGCCAGTCAGTAATGGAACACCACCTTCAAAATTTTGAGGGAAAACAATTCCAATATAGAAATTTCTCAAAAGCCAAACAACCAAGAGCAAGGGTTAAAAACTAAATCCCCCAAAATATACTTCTCACATGCTCTTTCACAGTACTGGTAGAGGAAACCAAAGTGAGGGAATAAACCAAGAGGAAGGTATGGGATCCAGAAAAAGGGAATTTAACAGAAGTGAAAGAAATTCCCAGAATGTCAGCTAAGAGAAGTCCCAAGGTGATAGCTATGCAGCAGGTCTAGAGGAAACAATCCAGACTGAAGCAGGAAGGACAGCTACAGAAGGGATGTCTACAGGAACAAATGGAACTGATAAGTTTATCTGACAGATTTGCCCATGTGGAAAATTGTACCAAGAAGCATTTTATGGAGCTGCTGGAGGGTACAGAAAGACTTTGCCAGAGAAAACTAAGCAAATAAAAAAAATGAGGCATGAAAAACAAAAGGTTACACAAGAAAATGAAATCATCGTAAACTATACTCTCACCAGTGACAAATATTTGGACATATGATGAAAATGCTGAATATGAATTTATTTCATTCTAAAATTATAGAATAAAATATTAGAAAGATGAAGAAGAATGTAGTTTGAAAGATCTTCAAATTTACCCATCCCTTTAAAATCACTGACATTTACATGCATAAAATTTTCAATTCTAAGCTCCTATTCTCATTAAATTCTGTAACTATACTTTCAAGGCAGTGCAGTGAAATGCTCTAGTTTTGTCTTGGAATACCTCACAGCATCATGCTAAGGAAAAAAATAAGATAATAAATGCAAAGCAAAAACACTAACAAAAACTAGAAGACCTATACAAATTTTATTGGTTACGGGAATCAGTTAAGGTACACTGGTATCTAATGATATGTTTGTTCTGTTGTTTGTCATAATATAATTATACATGTTGGATACCGTCAGTACATGTCCGGTTTTACTCTCTACATTTACCAATTCAATAATTTATTCAGTCTTACAGGAAAATGGGCTGTTAACTCTTCAGTAGATTCTCTAAGCACAAAACCTGGTTATTTTCTAGTTTTAAAAATATAAAACGTTTTGCACTTTTTCTTCTTATAAGAAATAAGTTAAACTTTTACTTAATGACTCAGGCTATCATACAAGTCAGCTACAGCACTATGACTAGATGGCCTTAAAGATTTTAGCTGTGTAAGGCATCAGCCCTCATACTAAATGGGCCTAGACTAGTATGCTTTTATAATTCTCTTGCTCATCACTGTTAACTTTCAGATCTACTGTCAATGTTCGCTCCTCTATCAGGACTGACCCACCTTTTAATTTGTTTTGATATTAAAAAAATTTAATAACCATGTTTCAGACTCAAATAACATTTACTAAATGCCCTTCCAGGCCCTTACATGTTTCATTTAATCCAAACATTTTTTGTTAGAATGGTCACCAATGTAAAAAAAAAGCAGTTCTAAAGACTTAAAAAACAAAACAAAACCCATACTATAAATAAATACAAGAGGCTTAATTGTTCAATGAAGTTGGGGGGGGGTGTCTAGATCTTTTAGGGGTGTATATGTGTCTCGGTTTGGTTTTGTTGAGGGAGAATCTATTTTCCTTGTTTGAGTGTATTTAACTTCCAGTTCTGACTCAGATTGTCTAATCAATGAGCTATGAATAATTGAGGGGTAATTGAACTATGTACAGCCAACTTAGAGCAACACTAAAAAGAGGTACATACCTAAAAGAACAGACGCTTGGTCACCCATTCACTAAGATTTTTACAAAAAGCACAGAGAAATGAGCACTGTATTACAAATTAGGTATTTTATATTCCCAACTGTATCTACACTAAAGGCATATACGTAATCTTGCTATTTTAATAACACCATTTCTTAAGAATCTTCTCACTTGGTTAAAACAGAACCTCAGTTCAGTTAAACCCAAACTTCAGAAGGATATGACTACTTACCAAGTTAAGAGGGAAAGATTTTCACATTAAATTTACCATCAAGACACTGAAAAGTAATCATCTGCTTTCTTAGTTTTTCCTCGATAAAATAGCATTTCTGTCCAAAAAAACAAAAATCTTACAATAGTATTAATACCTATTCACTACTTTTAAAAACCCACATAAGTCGTGGGAAAACATCTTCCTCATATATTAATGTAAAAGCTATCACTGCTTATATTCAGGCTTAATAATGTAAGCAGAAGCCCTCAAAAGAAGGATTCTAAATATAATTTAAAAGAGTGCAAAAACTTCTCACTGTACTCAAATACTAACAGTCAACTCTGTACCCCATAAATGTGTATAAATAAAATTTCTTTAAAAAATTTCACTTTTATAAACATTTCAACTTAAGGGCTATACCTGTATTCTACATTTTAAGCCATAACCGTTAAAGACTACTACTTATTTCTTTCTTTTCACCCATTCCAATATTCTGACAAAGTAATACCCAAATTCACTTCCTCATTCAGAGAACTTACAAAGAGCAAAATGCGCAGTTAACACACCACCAATAAGACTGGTACCTAGATGCTTATGAGCAGACTTCCAGGCACTTATAACTTAAACTTTATATACAACCATTAAAACAAAATATCTTTAAAATACTAACCACCTAAGATTCCTGAGTAAAAGTAACAAATTCCATCCCCAAAACCACTGTCCTAGAAGCAACACTCTCCAAAGCTGACAGATCTTTACATTGGGTCAGAGTACCCACGCTTCTAAGCGTGTTGTCTACGCTTAGAAGTCAAAGCTTTGCTACAGGCAAAACACATCAAGGAAGAAGTAACACTAATGCCACATACTCTCACGCAGCATTGTTTTAAATTGTGAAAATAAACCATTCCAATTCAAACACAGAATTTTTCAAGATCTAAGCTACCATTAGATTAGCAATGCTAAAACTGCTTGACATTTCATTTTTTCCCAAAAACAAAACAAAAAAAAACTTTATGACAACACTGGGTAGCAATTATATTTATAATAAACTTTTTCTTGTTGATTATGGCCTTTCCTTGTTGATTATGAGCTTTAAGCTTGTAATCACACAAAGATCTAATTTTCAGTCTAATGTTGGTACTACGGTCAGATCTCTGTGCACCCATAGCTTAAGAGGCAGTTCCACCTATTTTAACGAAATCCTATCTGAAAAATTATACGACTAGCCTACATATAAAAAGAAAACTGATCGTGCCTGAAAAGAACGCTTTAAGAATCTGCCTTTTTCTGATTCTAAAACATTTTGCAGCCAGTTGATCTGGCCGAAAAACGTCAAGGCTCCTGATTTTATCATTTGCTGCAGGAAAAAAAGAACATGGCTGCAAAGTCTTTCGGAAGGGTGGTATTTCCAATAGGACCACTCAAAACACTAAAGGATGTGGAGCGGAGAGGAGGCTGAGGGAGGCGGGCACCTTATGAAACAGCACACTTCGGGCCCTGCACTCTACCTCATTTCCCTAATAGGGATGAAATGCTCAGGCCTCCGGCAGCTTCCAGCTGACGCCAATGCTCTCCACACCCCTTTTCTTTTGACAGGATTTGCTGGTGTTGGAGGCTGTGTCACAAATATGAATTCCCGTGAGCACATCTAAACGGACTAATAATCAATCAAGCATCTTTTACAAGACCAACCCCTTCCTCCATCTCGTTTCCTCCAATCTCCCTCCCTAGCCAAACACACTAAAGAGGGTCCTCTAGACCAACTTCCGAAAATCCTGCAGAGCATAAACCGGGAGGAGGAAACGAGATAGAAAATAAGAGTTTCGGCCATTCCTCGCTTTGCGACCGAAATTACAGGCTCCATTTCCTGTCGCCTCGGGGACTGCAAAATCGCCTGAGAACGGACGCCTCCCGCCCCCTCCAGGCTGGCGCACGCGGCCGCCGCGCTCCCCCTTCCCGGGCCCCGCGGGCGCCCGGGGCGCCCACCCTCCTCCCAGCTCCCCGCACCCGCACCCACCTCGCGGCAGCGGCTTCACCTCCCCGTTCTCCTCCCGGACGGCCCCGCCGGCCTCGCTCGCCCCGCCGAGGCCGTGCCTCCTCCTCTCCTTCTCCCGCTTCTCCTTCTGTCTGCGCGGCTTGGCGTTGGCAGACGAAGTGGCGGCCGGCAGCAGGAGATGGTGAGGCTGAGCGTGCAGCAGCGCAGGAGAGACCAGCAGTTTGCGCGGCACCGGCTGAGACAAGGAAGCGGAGGCTGAGGAGGGGACGGCCGTGCCAGCGGAGAAAGAGAAACTGCTCCGAGAAGAGGACGGGGAGGGGACAGCAGACAGAGCGGCGAAGCTCCAAGACGCGGAGCTGCCATAGCTCTGAGGCGACGGTGCCGCCGCCGCCGGCTGCAGCTGCCTGCTATTCCCGCCGCTGCCCCCGTCCCCGTTCACTCTCCGCGGCACCTTCTTCTCCTCAGTCCGGACCTTCTTGGAAGAGAGAGGGCCTGGTGGGTCCCGGGAGGAGGGCTGCAGCTTGCCAAACGGTTCTTTCTCCGACACGGTGGCGGCGGCAGCAATAGCGGCGCCGTGCACTTGGCTCGGCGGTTCCGCCATTTTGCGCTCCTGTTGTATTTACTCTCCTCCGCTCCCCGGCGCGGGGTAAGGGGCGGGCCCTCCGGCGAGGGACGGGGAGGGGGCGGAGCGGCCGGGACTCTGGCAGGGCCTTCCATTGGGCGAGCTACGGTGAGGGATCCATCTGGGAACCAATTAAAGGCGCGAGCATGAGCCGAAAAGGCGGGATCGCCAGGCGCACCCGCTTTGGAGGTCCGAGCTCCGCCGGGCGCGGCGAGTGGCCCAGCAAACTACAAGGGGAGGGTCTTCCAGCTGTAGCCAACGTGAACTTGGGTGACCGGGAAGAACTCCCGACCTGAACCCCAAAATCTGCCCCGACCAAGGTAGCGACCAACTCCGCCTCGAAGACTGTGTTACTTGTACCACTTTCTCTTCCTTTTCCCTGGGGTGCCTTTGGTCTCTCCCTGTCTGCGCGTTCAGAAAGGAGGATTTCGAGGATACTCCACTCAGAGGAGAAAATTTTGCTGGGAATTTAGTCCTTGTTTTTGTTAGTCGGTAGTGGATTGATGGGAGGGGCTGAAAATCACTTGGTGTGGTGACAAGTTATCTTACTACTGCTAAGTTCGTGAACTTTAATGCGTTGGGGAGATAACTTCCTGCAAACCTAGAACTTACGGATCCTTCCGAGCTTGAAGGTAAGACTGTCCCTGGGTTTGTAGACTTGTTATGACTCTACTGATTGGACCTTTAAAGGTTTTAATTTATAATTATACTTAGACTCGCCAAGAAAAATCTGTTTGCAATATTTATAGATGTTTGAAAAGCAATAGTTTTTTTAAGTTTATGTATTTAGCGATTTTAATTTAACTGTTAGGTTTCACATGGATCGGAAAGTCAAAGGAATATATATAAAAATAAAAGTAGTCAAGTCAGGAGATGACCAGTGAGGATATTTTATGAGTCCTAAGAAGATCCCGTAACTTTCTGGAAACAGTTATAAGTAACCTTTCGGGAGTACCCACTCTTGTGACCTCAAGAAGTTGGAATTCTTTATTTTGTTTCCCTTTTCCTTTTTTAAATTTTTTGGAGTCAAAATTTAATATTGGTTTATTTTTAGATTCCTCAATTTTTTTAAGTAATTAAAATATTTTTTTCCTTTAATACCTAACAGTGAAAGCAAGTGAAAACTTAGCAATTGGAATTGACTGGCAGCAGATGTCTTCATGAAGAGTAGCATAATTGGGAAAGTGGACCTAGAGGATAGGGCTGGAAATCACCTGCTACTCACTAGCTTTGTGGCCTTAGCCAGACTGCTTCACCTGTCAGGACTTCTGGTTTCTTATCTGTTAAATGCATAAATTTAATTACATGACCACTAAGGTCCCTTCCATACTCTAAACTTTTGCCATATTAAAGAACCTTTTCAAAATCACACTGAAACCATTATAATTAAAATAGTTTCTTAACTGTTGACCCTTCTAATCTAGAAAAGTATATAGTGCCTAGAAACTTGAACCATTCATTCCCTCGTCTCCTGTACAAAAGCATGGAAAATCTGATTTCTTAAGGGCCCAATTAAAGTGTACTCTCACCTGCATGAATTTGTTACTCTTCACACTATATTATACTATAATACACTGTTATCAGGCCTGGCCCTAAGTTTGTGGAGCCTGGGCAAGAGTGAGGCTATGGAGGCCCACATACCATCTATCTAAATATTGAAAAGTTGTAAACAAGATAAACTATTACAAAATATATTCTATTCTACTACCTTGACAAATCCACTTTCAGAATGTTCTGGAAGGCTGGATTTAAATTTAGAATTCTGAGTCCCTGAGTGACCCCACTTACTTCCCATCCCCAGCTGCTTCACCCACCACACCAAAGGGGGCCACACATGCACCCAAAATGTCTAAGCTTATGTGCATATCCCCCACCCCTGCAGTAGTGATGTACAATCCACACTTCAGTCTGCCCTCAGGTCTAGCTCATCTAAAAAGGGAGGATCCAGGCAGACGTGGCCCCTTGACCTCATGGATTCCTTGCCCTTTGCAGTAGGAGAAGGGCCAAGCTGACAGGGGCCCCTTACCCAGGTCTAAGAGCAGGTCTGTTATAAAACATGCTTGATTGCCTGTTTTCTTTCCTGTATAATCAGCCATTCCTTTTCAACTAGATCACTCCTAGCAACATTTAAGTAGGAGAGAATTTTTACCATTATCACCAATTCCTTTTGCCATAATCTCTTTACTAGTGCTAAAACCATTCACTTCTCTCCATGTCCACTGTTGGCCACCTGTATTAGTCAGTTTCTGTTCTTATAACAAAATACATGAAACTGGGTTATTTATAAAGAAAACAAAATCTATTGCTTACAGTTTCTGAGGCTGGGACGTCCAGAGTCCAGGGAACAATCTGGTGAGGGTCTTGGTGGTGACTTCAGTGACGCAGGGTATCACATTGTGAAATGGCGGAGCAGAGGGAGCAGAGAGACAGACTCTTTCTTCTTTTAAAGTCCTCAGAACCACGCCCCTGACCACCATTCCCAATCCATTCACTATGGCAGGGTTCCACAATCCAGTCTCCTCCCCAAGGTCCCATCTCTCAATTACCATGATAGGATTTCCTACCCTCAACAGTTAACAGTGGGGACTAAGGCTCAGTGAGGTTGTGGGGGCATCTAGTCTACACCAGCACCCTCTTCCAAGTGCCAACCCTTCTCACCTATAAGACTACACTAGCCTTTTTCATGGTCTCCTTGTATTCTAATTTTCTCAAATCTGTTCTCCATTCTACAGCCAGAGTGCTCTTTTTATGTTTTTACTTTTTAATTTTTTTGTAAGTGACTGTCTTTTCCTTTTTTTATTTTTAACCGAAGATAGGAAGTTTAAATTTTTTTAATTAGTTATGAATATTCATGGAGTACAAAGCAAATTGTCACCACTCATGCCTAAGATGTGATGGCCAGATTCATACTGGCAGCATGCCCATTACCACAAACTGTGATTATACCCCGTGTCCCCCACCCAATTATCCCCCCAATTACCCCCAACCTCCATCCCTATCCCCCATTCCCCACTCCACTGTGTATCCCTAGGTATGTTCTCTCCCTCTCAGAATGCTCTTTTTAAAACCTAAATTTGATCATGTCTCTTTCCTTGCTTCAGACCTTTCAATGACTTTCATTGCTCTTCAGATAAAGAACAGAATTCTTAATATGGCCTATAAGACCCTCATAATCTAACCGCTTTTCCTTCTGTATCAAAGTAGTAGGCCTTTAATTTCCAGAATGCATTATGTTATCTTTCGACATAGGAATATTGTGTCTGTTGTTCCGTCTGTCTGGAGTGCATTTCCCTTTACGTGATGTTTATGTGATGGTTTGGGTAATGGACATAAGGGATGCAGATATCATGAATGCCTCCTATATTTCTAACCTGCATAATTTGATGGACAGTGGTACCATTCACTGAGCTAGGAAACACTGGAAGAGTGACAAGTTTCAGGTACTCTTTGATCTTGGACCTGGTGAACATGAGTTGCCTTTAAGATACCATATCCTTCATATCTTAATTCAAGCCCTACCTCCATTAAGAACCTACTCTTCTCTTTCCAATCAAGTTCCTTTGTTGTTTGTTCCTTTTCTTCTCATACCCACTCCTTCTTGCTTATTTGTGGTGGTGGTGGTGGTGGTGGTGGTGGTGTTATTGGCTCACTGATCACCTCTCCCAACCCTTTCCAGTCCATCCTATGTAACAACAACTCTACTGAAAACATACTACACCCTGCTTCTGCATTTTCTTGTCTAAAACTGGTCGCCCTCTGAGGACACAGACTATATACTCTTTCTTTCTTTTTTTTTTTTTTTTTCCTGGGCAGCTGGCCAGTATGGGGATCCAAACCCTTGACCCTGTTGTCACTCTAACCGGCCAGCCCCTTAGACTAGTTTCAAAACTTGCTCATTCTCTCTGAATTCTGCATCACAGAATTTCAGGTTATTATTATGCTTAATTTTATGCAGGAAAAAAAACAAAAAAAACTTCCTCTTGAGGTCTTTGTGGTATGGCTATACCATCCTTCACTGACTCCCTGGGAATTTTTACTACACTTTGTTTGGAGACTTTGATACATGGCTCATATTCCTCCTCTCTACCCTCCAGCCATCATTTAAACTGACTTCAGTGTCCATGCTAATGACCAAATTCAGTACTCTCACCTCAGTGTTTCTTTTTGGACTTGCATTTCCATTTTCTTTCAGCCACAAACTCCAGTGGCCCCTCCCTGGTCCTTTTCATCACCCACAACTCTTCTATCTCTGAAATTCTAAACTACAGTATTTTAATACTCAGCTTTCTTACTCCTTTACAACAGGCCCTTGCCCTTTGACCTCAGGACTCTCCATCTTACTTTTTCACCTAATTATGATTGCCAGATACAGGACACCCAGTTAAATTTGAATTTTAGATAATGAATAAATTTTTTAGTATAAGTATGCCCTATACAATAATTGGAACATATTTGTACTAAAAAGACAAAATAAAACAAAAAAAGCCCTATTCTTTGTTTATCTGAAATTCCTTTTTTTCCCCTAATAAACCTGACAGCCCTACAGTATTACATTTCTTCTATGCTTTCCCTATCCAGCCTAGAACTTGTGGCATATTATTTGTACCAGACACTTGCCAGCACCTCAGTTCCTCGATGGTAGTTCTCTTCATCTCTATCTATGCTGCTAACTCCTAACCTCAGGTCATCACATCTACCTGCTTGTCTGCATCCAAGCTGCCAAGCATTGCCCTTCTCTTCTATGTAAGTGTTGGAGATTTTTAGGGATATGCATTGCTCTTTATTGCTCTTTGCATACTTCTATGTGATGTTATTCATCACAGTGTCTTCTAATATCTCTTAAATGTGGAGAATTCCCACGTCTGTTTCTCCTGCCTTGACCTTCTTCCTGATTCCTGATTCATATCCACGTACCCGGTAGACATCACCACCTGTGTAACCACAGACACCTCAAACTTTATGCCACGCATTCTCATCCT